TTAAGGCTTCTCCTGTCAACCCAGTTACCTCCTCTCAGGGAGGTGGAATACCCACCTCAATGGAAGAAACTCTCGCCTAGACCGAATCTTCACTAAGTGTTCCAGTGCTGTATGTGTAGCCAACCCTGATAGTTTACTCCATTAAGGTTAGGTGAAGATTTGGGAACCTTGGCCATTAGACTGATAGTGTTACTAGATATAAATTAACCTCAGAGACAGTCTACTGTCTGATTAAGGGTAAGCTGTGGTGGAAAGTGAAAGAAATAACCACAGCTTCTTTATCATTAAATAAGATAATTGCTAATACAATAGTGAGCGTTCTGCCTTGGCCTGTAGCCATTGGGATTGATTTTCATTTACACTAATTCTCTTTCACACTGTTCTGATGCCCTAAAATGGGCTTACATTGTGAAAATGGTGTAAAGGGGTCTTCATGTAAATGAGGATCAGGTAATTTCTCCACTTGTAATATTAGGCCTGTTATCAAAGCCCAGTAGAACATAGTACCTAGAATTGCATGCTATATCCTACAAGCTAGGACGATAAAACAGGGTTGGCAGAATTCTATTTTTGTTTTTTGATATTTTTGGTGGATAATATCAATGTTTATTTTAAAGGATTGTTCATTTTTCATCAGTTTAAATGTTCACAGTTGGAAATTATGGGGATGAGTGTCAGACAATAGGAGGGTCAGACAATATCTATTTAATGGTAGTAGACACTGAGATTCCAAAAGTTAAAACGTTAGATGCATTAAAACACAAATTGTCAAAATCACATGTCAAAATATACACAGTAAATATCGTTACATCAAACTTTAATAAGATCTTAAGCAGCATTTTTCTGACTTTGCTTATCTGTATATTTCCATTATTGTTGATGGATTTTTTTGGTATGTGTATGTACAGTGACATTGAAGTTTACTGACATTTGACAATAAACATTTAATCTGTCCACATCTAAAGATAATGCATATTGCCACCGTTGCAGCTTTCTCACCTTTCTGGCATAGGAACAAGTGAGTCACCCTAACCCTTACACTGAAAGACCAGAGTATGATATTATTACCCTCTGATTAGTATAGGCTGAAATACAACTTTAGTTTCTTAGACACACAGGTCTGTCTGGCAGCCAAGGCAGAATTCCATCATAGGCAAAGCCATTCAATCACTGATATAGAGGGGGGAAAGGTGGTAAAAGCTAGGGTGCTAAAGCACTAACAAAAAAAATATGAGAAGTGCTTACAATGTTGGCATATGCTGCTTTCAGTTTTGAGCACCACATGTCAGAAAAGACAGACAAATTGGAGAGAGTTTAAAGCTGAGTAACAATAAATGGTAAATGGTTTGGAAAATAAAATCTCAGAGGAAAGGTTAAGATAGGTGGGTATATTTAAAGCACAGAAAAGGAGTGCAGAGACAGTCAAGTCCAGATTCGATAACCATCTCTCTGGATGAATCAGGAATTATCAAATCCCTTATCAAAATGCAAAGGGATGAACGAGAAGACCCATTAAAGGTGCTTTTCTATCAAAAGAATCCCATCAATATTGTAAAATCAAGATACAATTGCAGTTTAAAGGAGATGCATAAAATATCAACCATCAATTATTTTATTCTTCTCCGCTTCTAGTTTTAATACCTCTCATTCCTTGATGAGGAAATGCAGCTATGCAGTCACATGTGTGAAATGATACTGTCCTGTGCTGTGGAGTCTAGCTCCAGCTCAGGCTTGAACCATTCCCAGTGAAACTGTCACATGAACAGCTGTAGAGGTATATGGAAGAGAATCATAATTTTTGAAAAAAGACATTCCTTAGGTGATGCGTGAGACACCTGCTGCTTCCCTATTTTAATTAACAGAATACAAGACTCTTTCAAGAGAGAATTTTAAAAAAAAGTCTCATTTTTTCATTTCCTGACAGATCTCTCTCCCTCTTCCTCCACTACACACTAGCAAATTAGATTTTCATTATAACTTCAGAAATAAGCTGCTTCAGTTTCATAACAAACAGTATGGTTCATTATCAGTTTCATTGACTGGGTCAAACTTAATTCAGATTTTTGTTAAATAAACCTATGCCTTAGTAACTCATGTTTCATGAATAATGAGCTGTTGACAACAATAAATGAGAAAAAACAGAACACCTTTTATACATACACCAGACAGATCAAATGATGAGGAAAAAGTTCTCAGATGGATTTCAGACTGTGAATGACAGATATTTAGCTACAACTGCTTGTCTTTAAGTCATCAAGGCAATACTGCTATCCTTTCAAAATGCCAATATAATTCTGTGATGTTTATATTAAAATCATATCTGTTGATATGTAAACCAATGCATGCCTATAAATGAAGTTTGTACTTTATTAACATACAATGGAGATGTATGGTATACTACCAGTGCAATAGGAAACTTTTTTGAATATCATATCCTTACACCAGATGGTATTTGTTTTATTCTAGAGGATATGAACAAGAGATCATTTCCATATTGCCTGCCCTCAACTAATTCATTTACATTTCCTCATTTACAGTCTATGTAAATTAAGGACAAAGATAATCGTTAGGCTAACATGTTAGTTTTCTAAACAACAACCTGGACTGCCATATTCTTACTCACATTTAATTCTTTCAAAAAACAAATGCTCCACTATTTTATATACAAGCAGAGATTGTCTATAAAGCATATTTATTCTGTTCTTCGCTATGGCTTATGTTGTTTGTGATACTTAATGCTTTTATTGCTGTCAATAAACATGCCTCACCAATAAACTGATAGGTACACTTCACAGATATTCCAGATTCATACAGTGCAATGTTCTCACAACACATAACACTAGGAAATCACTGTATGAATCCAAGAATTCCTACCTCTCTTGTGGTTTGCAACTTGAACTGACGAAACAGTTGACAAAGCTAATTTGGGAGCAACTGGATAGGTTTAAAAACATGAATAATAAATTAGAAAGGTATCATATAGGAACAAATAAAAAAGCTTAAAAATGAATTACTTTAGTCACTACATTTTTAATTAGCTTTAAAAAATTCAACATAAGTGAGTATTTTTTCATTGTTTACTGTTCTGAAAGGGAAGGTTGATATTGAGGTGAAAATGGGTGAAGCACTATCAATGATTAAGGTATTGGAAATGATGAAAGGTTTTAAAACAGGAAGGAGAGGGTTTTAATAGTCATATCTGCATTCTTATTTGGCTTTGGCTCAGATGTTATACATGACCTAAGGAGTTTCTTCCCAAGTCCATAATTACTGACTATACAATATGCCTCATGGTCTATATAGTTTTTATCAAATTTATGTACAGATGTTGTTCTAATTGTACTATAAAGAAAAGCATAATAAATAATGTACAGGTATGGGCAGCATTCTGTAATCAGGATGTGCATATATTATACTTCATATACTTGACTCAAGGATCTTAATTCTGATAAATATTAAACTCTTAACAATATGCTCTGAACAAGTAATCTAACCACAAAATAGTTGAAGTTTTTTGTTCTTTGTGTTCTCTCCTAACATGTAAAAGCTAAAGAAAAACTTTTTGTGTGTGGGAACAATGCATAATCTTGTACTGCTCAAGATGCATTGTGAAGTGATGTTAATCACTTGCAGTATAATTTGTTAAACTATGAAATCCATTTGAAATGCTAAGTGTCATTTTGTTGAGGATGTTTTGATTGATAATGCATATGAATAACAAACTAAACTTTGCTGCTAATCCTTAAAGAAAGCAGAAGAGCAGAAATCAATTTGTTTTTCTTCTTTAAGGAACACATGCAGAAACTTGGAAAATATAACATGGACTAGCTGGTTAAGATGATTCTATTTGTTAGTAACCTATGTGTATCTAGGGCAGTCTCAGTTTCATCACCATGATAAAGGACTAATACTGTAGTCCTTACAATATAACTCCCCAACAAATTGCTAATGTATTTTGTTTAGTTTAACAGCCATTTCCTGGATCTTCCTCTTGCTCATTTCCTCCTCCTCCATCTGTATTCATTAGAGTTTAAAAAGAACATCCTGTGAATAACCATGGCAAGCTGCAGGCCAGAGTTCTGCAATTCTGGGGGGAAGGTGTAGGGGAGGTTGGGGAGAGCAAGGGGATTTCATGTTAAATAATGAACGGGTTTACATTTGATTGTCAAAATTTGTAGCATAAAAGCTAGTATGAACACAAATTCAAATGAAAAAGCATTTTACTTTATATTTTATTACTCTTAAAAATCACTCTATCCCTTTCTGCAGTAATCATCATGCCACAGTCTGTCACTGTAATTTTTTGTATGTCATTGGAATTCAGATGCAGAAGTATTGCACTAGGGATTTCAGAGAGATTGCTGTCAATGCTAGAGGAAATGTAGCTTATAGAGCACAATGAAGAATACTTAGAAACATCTCTTCTGTGACCTGACCTGCTAAAAAAAAAAAAAGGAAGAAAACCCAAATTCTGAAAATACTGTATATAAGATTGTTAAAATAAATTCCAGGAGACTATGGTCCAACTGTCTTGGACTATGCAGCTGAGCTCTGAATACAAATGGGAATAACATTCAGTTCACTTAAGAAAACAAAGTGAAAGAGAGACATTAAGAAATGGGTTTGATGTAGACAATGGAAATCTCTGGCACTCAAAAGGCTTGAAACTTTCTCATAAAGCAAATGGTGATGTCTATACAATTCTAGGCTTCTCCAGAGACTCACTTTAAATTTAATCTATGAAATTGCTTACAACTTTGGTGGCTTCTTTTCCATACTTTTTGCAGTAGTGTTTCTAGTCCAGAATCTATATATTAAAAAAAGCCTTTTTCATGTAAAATTTCATTTACGCTAATTCTCAGTAGATTGGTTTTGACAATACCATTACTTAGTACCAAGAGAAAAAGGAGCTGGATTATTATTATTTTTTGCCAACATGTGGGATTTTATTAAAGCAATTTAAGTAACTTTTGACCAGTAGGAATTTTACAGAATCCTACCTTGATTTGGTTTAGAAACCTCAAGGGAAGAAATATTCGGCCATATCCTATCAAACTTTGGTGGATCTGCATGCATCAGGAAAAATCATGATTTGTTATTTACATATGTGATATTGTTCTAAACAGAGAAGTGTATGGACAAAGACATAAACCACAAACATCTGCTACTGGACTTGTCTATGATGCACTTGAACAATATGTTACTCCCACATTGAACAAGAACAAGCAATTGATGATTCCCAAAACACTGAATGGACATTAAATACGGTATATAGCAATTTATCTTTCAGGATTTTAGATATTAACTGCAGTGTTAAGAAATATATATCTATATATAAAACACTAATCCCAAACCAGGAACCTTTCTGTTCATGCTATTATTTTAAACCTAGTGTCCAGAGATAAAATGACAATATAATATAAATACAGTAATTTCTTACCATAACATCTCATTTTAAGGACTTTAAACCTACATATACTTATATTAAAAAAAAGCTTCTGCTATCAGCAAGTTATATTTACTAGGGGAGTGGGTTATTTTGTTCTTAATTTTGTGTTTTGTATCTCTTTCCCCTTGCTCCATCAATATCTTATATAGCTTGATTTCCTTTAAATAAATAAGGAAATTATTTTTTTCTTAAAAACATTAAAGGGAAAGATTTCTGAATTAGTTGGGTAGGTTCCCAAACCACAGATTTTCCAATAAAAGATGAATCCCGCCTTCTCTTCGTCAGATACACCAGTTCACACATATAGAAAGTGCATGGCAGGAGCCAATGGGAAAGGGAGCACACATGAATGAAAGGTATCAAAAACGTGTATTTGTAGAGGTAGAGAGATCACCATAGCAATTGATGAAAGAGTGGCTAGAATTGTATGCACCTGTGAGATAGCTTCCCTTTTTCTAGAGTACTGACATAGCTCTGATAAAGGATCACCAAAAGCAAGTCGACAAATTACTTTATTTGGTTTTGTGTTTGAATAACTGAGGATTGATCTAAAGATGTTAAGGGACTGTGAATATAGCCTCTGTATGTCTCACACATATGCACGCACGCACGGTCTGAATAAAGAGAATAGGAATCTCCTAGCTGTCTTACCTGTGGTCTGATAGGATCTGATCCTTTTACTCCCCTAGCCACTGTGTAATAATACATCAAAAATCTTTGAGACAGACTAAAGTTACGTCTAGCAGAATGGCTCTCTTCTTGGCACATACCCTCCAAAAATTAGAATAGTAAGGTGGCCATCAGCTGAAATGGCCTAGGCATTATCAGCAATAACATCATACTATGTCAAAGCTCAAAGGAAATCTGCACAACATTTTCAAAAGACGAACTTGGGAGCTTAAATTCATAACTTTGCTAGATACTAGAAATCATGGACTGAATAGACACACTTGATTTATGGGTTACTACAATGCTCTCTCTATCCCACTAACGACCCCCCTCCCAGCTGCTTTTCCCCCCTTCCCTTCCTCCCTATGACTGGAGGAGTGTTAAAGGGCCACTTTCCCTTAAATGGCCCCTTGAAATATATGTTAACTACTTAAGCAAAACAATCTGTTCCACCTTGTTTTTAGCTGTGACACAAGTACCTTTCCCAGACCTGAAGAAGAGCTCTGCCTAAGCTCAAAAGCCTCTCTCCCCCCCAACAGCAGTTGGTCTAATTAAAGATATTACTTTACCCACCTTGTCTCCCTAAAGCTCTGTAATACATTTAAGACCAGCCCTACTGAGGATCTGTCACTAACTGAAATATATGCCTTATCATAGTAATCAGAGCAATTCCTACTTTGAGACCTATATTTTCAGTCTCTTGTCTGAATGAGACTACTAATCACATGACTAGAGATATCAACCAATTTACAGTTCTCTCAGCAATATTGCTGATAGCCGTACAGGATGTTTTCACTCAAGTGTTGTAGATTATATTATGAAAGCTTGTTTCAGAAAACCTATTTAAGCTATGGACCACATATAGGGGATGAACCAGGATAGAAAATACAACTCTAATGACCTTTCAAATTTATTTACAGTAAGATGAGTTTGCCAAGGGGATGCACAAGAACATGATAAATGTGTGTTTGTATTATAACTGAAGTAATTTTGAACATTTTTGTGCCTGGAGGTTACTCAGTGTTCAGGCAAATACACCTGATGTGTACAAGTAAATATAAACCTTTTGGACCTTGGTAATGTAACTAATGCACTGACCGGTTTAGTTTTCCTACTTAGAATTTTTTCCTTCTCTTCTAGAAAAGTCTCCTTTGACTACTCCATGATGAGTAGAAGGTTTATTTTGTTACCTCCCTGTCTATTGGTGGAACTTGTCATCACCAAGATTTTCAATTTCTCAAGAAGAGCCTTTGTTCTCATCTCTGAAACCCAATGTTTTATTTTCTGGGTACTATTTTTATTGCTCTATCAAAACTTCCATGTGAGACTCACCTCACAAAGAATATAGACTCTCCTCCTTATTATCTGGTACTGACCTTTAACATCCACAGGTAAAATGTTTGTGTTGACTGGGCTTGAGTGTGTTAGGGCTGTATTCCATGATGTGAAAGTGATATTATTTTATGTATGTTTAAAAATGTAGATGTTAATTCTAGAAATTAAGCTTTTAAGCCTACAGGATCCTTCTATTATGTATTTTATCGTGTCTGTGGCTTTATGTAGTAGGAGCACATTCTTGTAATTGCATATTTTCCTGTGCAGTTAGGTTCTCTCTTTTTAACCTCAGTTGTAGAAGAGTTTATGAGTCATCAAAGGAGCCCATTGCATGCATACTGTAAAAGCTAGATACTGGAACAGATTAGTCAGCCTCTGAACAGCCACCAGTCAGAATCCCTTAATACACAATTCATTTACAGCAATTTGTGAAAATCTTTTTTTTCCTGAGTTACTAATAGGCAGGCTTTGTCTACACGGGGCAATTGACTGGGATAGATATATTCCAATATAGCTCTCCATGTGGGCACTTTAAATCTGGCATAAAAATCACATTGTTACGAAAGAATTACTTGTGATTAAATAATTTATCCAGAATACAGTGACTCTTATTTCAGAATAGTGTGCCCACATAGGGGCTATTTCAGAATAGTTCACTCTACAATAGCTATCCCTGTGTCAATTTTCCTGTATAGACAAGACCTAACAATAACAGTTCTGAGAACACAGGAGGAGCTAAGTTTAGCTTAAGAGGAAAGCTATGGAATTGTGATTTCAGAAAGTACATTTTGAATATATCTTTTTAAAAATGTAAGTACTTTAGGCACATTTAAGTGTAGAGAGATATGAGACATGTAGCTTAGCAGACAATCCATTTTAAATATTACTTGAAAAAAAATTCTGTACTGCTGGTTAATCCATCTAGGTACAGACAGTGCATTGCTTCAACATCTTGCTCAGGTAGTAAGGAGAAAACTATTGTATGATGTTTAACAAGTGCATAATCACTTACTCATAGATTTAAAGGCCAATAGGAATTTTCCCTATTGCTTTTCTTTTCACTGGATTCTTTTATAACAATGTTAGAACAATCTGTAGTGCTAAAGGAACGGAGGGAATATGTATCAAATGGCCATTGGAAATCAAAATTTGGACCAACTGGCACAGTATGGTCTTAATTTGGAGGGTTTATGTGAAACGAGTTGGTAGTTTCAGCCCAATTCCAACTGGACGGACTGGAACACAAAAGACACTGCCACAGTCAGCAGAAATTAAGCATCACCCTTATTGGCTGTTTCAAGTGGCCAAACACTGAGTTGACATGGTGATTAAACTGTGCTCTCAATCCAAGTGCTGTCCTTCCAGAGGAACGTTGAGGAACGTTGTTGATGGAGTGTGTGGAAGAGGATATTACTGCTCCATGTGCTATGCATGTTCTTTGCCTAACCAGAGTATTTGTCTCCTAAGCTATTACTATTACACAAAGATTGCATTTGCTTACAATTATTAATAAATATAATTTAATAAAAAGTAGTCTTGAGTTTAGTTCACTCTGAAGGTTGACAGGGGCCACTTGAATAACCAAGTGATCATTTGATTGGTACATAATAGCAGTGACACAACTGTCTGAGAAATTTAGAATTTTGTGATTGGGGAAAATTTGTTTTAAAGTCTTCAGCTTTTAAACCACTTCTATTTAAAAAGTAAGAAAAGCATGAAGGCTTAAAAAAATCACAATCCAATTTCATGTAAACCATTCCAAGTTGAAGTAAAGCTTCATTTAGGCTTGGCCCTGCTATTGTCTTCTTAGACTGTAAGTACAGTTAAAGGCATGTCTCTTTATAGTGTGTATGTAGAGTGCCTCGCACAAAGGGGCCTGCTCTCAGTTGTAGCCTCTGAGTGCTACTGTAATACAAATAATTAATAAATGAAACAATATGTCACTCCTATTTAAATCAGTGGAAGATTTGTATATGAATTGCTGGCATAAATGGGTATAATTAGATCAGGTGATATTTTTATCACTCTCTGGGAGTAAACTATGACAAGGAGAACACTATTTCCCCCTCATTGTATTTCTTATTAGGGTGATGCCTACCTCATGGGATAAGCTTACCTTAGGGATGAAATCAGCTTTTTCTCACAGGTTAATAGAATACTATAGAATAAAACTGAGCAAAAAAAGAAGAAATGTTACAAAATTTAGTCTAAATCTCCCTCATTTTAGAAATTCAAAAATTTAAAGTTAAAAAAATGTAAACCAGTGCTAGCTAGACTGGTTTTTTTGGGCAATGTAGGGCATCTCATACCTGTTCCTTAGACGGATGAAAATTCTGCATTAAAGGAGAGATGGAGTTGTTTTATTTGGCCTGGAAGCTCCTCAGCCCTAACAGCTTTTACAATTGTTGGAAGAATTTGAATTGAATTAGTGGCTTGGGTGTCCAGCTATTCTCTCACAGAAGGAGAGCACTCTTCTGCAGAAGTGGTTTCAATGGGCCCCGATGAGCCTGTGGTGGAAAGTTTTCATAAATCAGAAAAAATCCACTGTTTCTAACCAGCAGACTGTCTGGGTCTCTTCAAACTCAACAGGCTTGATGGCATTTTCTAGTTATC